GATACTCCTTGAACATTATTAATACAGGTGGTAATTGAACAAAGATGGAAACAATCATGTGCGATTTTATCTGCTCGTCAGATCCGTAAAATATATCTTAGACATGAGTAGTTAAAAGTTGATAGTTCTTAATATTTTCCACTCTCTCTGCCCATGTTTCGCAACCATATAGGAAGATCGAACGAATTGTATCTATATAGATGCGGATTTTCGTCTTCATAGTAATTTCGCGACGGTTCCTTAGAGGTTTCATCGACCGCAAAAACATTTCTAGCTGTCGCTATCCGGGTTAGAATTTCATCCTTTGCCTGGCCATTTGGGATTAGAGTGGATCCGAGGTATTTAAGGTTAAGCAGTTCCTCAACCGGTAATTAATTGATAAAATTAGGTATTTAATCAGCATCTTGTATATATGAAGATAGTGTTGTTTTATTGATTTTAAGTCCAATTCTCGCTGCACATTGACACATTATTCAACATTATTTGCATTCATTATAATTATCAGCAAAAAGGACTACATCATCAGTGTATTCAAGGTGATGCTATATTCTGGACTGATTTGCACACCTCTTGAGTGCCGGCAAGCGATGCCTATCATCCAGTCTATCGCATATCGAATATTAGGAGAAAGAACGCAGCCATGATGAACTAGTTCTTATTTTGAGGAGTCTGTCAGTTCCATAAATACAAACCTGTGACAGAGTATGCTGATAAAATGCCTTTATGAGCCGAATGATCTTCTCTGGGGTACCGTTACATTCTATCAGAGTGTTAATTATTTAATTATTGATTTATTATTACTATTATTTTAATTATCTTTTTATTTTAACTTCTTTTCGATCTAACAAGCGAATCGAAGGCAGCTATAAAATCGATAAAGCAAGTAACTATTATAGATTGGTGGTATTTGAAGCGATGTTCCAGTACCCTTCTAGAGTAAATATCTGGTCAGCGCAACTGCATCCCAGTCAGAATCCAGCTTGGTTAGGACGCATTCTGTTATCTCGAGTTATCGTCAGTCTATTTAGCAGAAGGAAAGCGAAAATTTTTCCGGAGATGTCCAGTAGGCTGATTCCTCGGTAATTGTCGTAGTGCGTCCTGTCACCTTTCTTAAGAATTGGAAGCAGAATTGCTTTGCTTCAGTCTTATGGTATTATTTCATCTTGTAATACCAGAGAATATACTTGTTGAAAGTTGTGAATGATGATGGATAACATTTGAAGAATGCGGCCCAAAGTCCATCTTCTTCGGGAATTTTATTGGCCTTAAACCTATGGATTATTTCCTCTTCTGTTGGCGATTCGCAATTGCAAACGTATGGCTCGATGTGCGAATCAGTTATATTTCGGGATACATATGGTGCATCGTGGTTAAGTTTGGCCTCAAAAAATTCTTTCCATCTTCTGAAGCGATTCTTGACAGCTTTAATAGGCATCCCCAATAATATCCCCTACCATTTCACTTACGCCTTTCTCGATCTATAGTTGCTTTGTGAAGAAGACGAAACAGTTCCCTATTATCACCTATTCGAGCAGCCATTTCCATTCTCAAGGCCATATCGCTCCAATAGCGATTTCTGTCCCGCCATGCTATTCTTGTAATTTTTCGAAACACCCGATAGTCAAGATCTCCTAACATCCGGGCTTTTTCAGACAATTAGGCAGCTGTTTCTGACACCCAACTAGCATATTTCCTACTAGTATATGTGGGAGTGGCTGACTTTTGTAGGCGTGTCTTTAGTTGGAACCAGTACACTGAGGTGTTTTGATAATGCGCTTATTGTTCCCGAATCTTAGGATACGTCTTTTACGATTTTCGATTTCTTACGACTTGTCAATTTTATATAAATCTTGGTTCGAACCATAACATGATTTGATCCATGACAGTTACCAATTTCAGTGTCCCGATAAGAACGACAAAACTCTTCCAGCGGTGCCTGGCCAATATATAGTCGATCTGATTGGAATTTTTCGGAAAGTTTTATAGATGAATAGAGTTTTATAGATGTTTTTTCTTCCATGGAAGTATGTATTACTAACAAGGGTTCATGCTGTTCAGCAAAACATTTTCCATTTTCCATTTTCCATTGGCGCATTGTACTCCATTGCCACATTTGCCAATCACCGAATTTATTGTGACGGTATCATGACCTATGCGCGCATTCCAGTCTCTCCTCATCATAACCATGTCACATCTAGATAGAGATGTTGTTAATAATTGAAGCTCCATATAGAACTTATCCTTATCGCAGTCATTTGCGCATAAAGTTGGAGTATATATATAGAAATATTGCAAAATTTTCCCTTAAAACACGTGTAGGATGAGCGATTCAGTAGCATGAGATTCAATATCTTCACTTTTTTTGCATATAATTTAATTTTACCCGTGTAAAGATGACTAATAAGTGTATCTATATCTGCTTCTGGTAATTACCTGAATGAGGAAATTTAGAGCTACGTTGAACAATAAGTAAGACAATGCTTCGCCTCGATATGTGCCGCACTTGATAGCTATTTATACAAACTGTTTCAAGTAGAAGTAGAATTTCAAGTGGCATTTTCCACAGTCGCGTTTTCATATACTGGCTCTTATGGTCATGAATCTTTGTGGCTATGATGTCAAACAGGACTTTCCACATTGTGTAGTAGGTGGATTATCGGTCGGTTGAGAAATGATGCTCTCTTATGAAGATCACGTAATCAGCACCATTATCACTTGTTAATCAGTTTCAGTCTTGAGTCTTCTGTTTCTGATGTGCTTCCTTAATCTGCAGTATTTCATCAATTCCAGCTTGCCATCATGTAAAATTTGTCCTTTTAACGCCAGATTTTTAATTTGATGGTTCCACAACAATTGGCGCTATTTCAATTTTAAAAAGACTTATAGCTTAAGACAAAATAAAATATTTTTAAGACTGAGGGTCCATTTATATAGTAGTATTATGTAATTAATTCATTACCAGCGAAGACAAAGCTCTTTGACAGTGTTGTTAATGCAAGTGGTATTTGAGCAAAGGTGGATGCAGTTATATCAGATTTGTTCTTCGAACCCATAAAATATATCTTAGACATAGAAATATCTGATTAAAGGTAGATAACTTCTTAATATCTTCAATGGCCGTGGCTCGCAGCCATATAGCAAGATCGAGCGAAATTAACCTAAATAAACGCGGTCTTTCGTTTTATTTCGCGGTGGTTCCATTAAGCCAACCCAAAGGTCACATTTTTAGCCGTCATCATTGGAGTTGTAATTTCGACCTTCGCTTGACGGTTTGAGATTAAAATGAATGATATTAAAATGAAAATAGGTATTTTACTTATATATAAAACGAAAAGATTTTCCTTTTATTCACATTGATCTTGAATCCGATTCTCGCTGTGGTTATCGACATTTGCATTGTCAGCAAAAAGGACTACATCATTAGCGTATTCAAGATTTGCGATATAATCCTACATGCTGATTTGTGCGATGTCCATTATCCAGTTTATCGCACAGTCGAATATTGTAGAGAAAAGGTTGCAGCCTTGACAGTTATTATTTCGATTGAGTTTTTCAGTTCCCCATATATACATATCTGTGTCGATGTATACTGGTAAAATGACTTTATGAGTCGAATGGTCTTCTCTGGAATACCGTCACATGCTCTCATCACTCTCAAAGCGCCACTCCATCGACTGAATCGATGAAAGTGACGATGTATTTGAGATATTTGAAGCGATGTTTCAAATGTTTGATGAGGACTATCATTTCAACTCTCCTTAACGTGAATATCTGGTCAGCACAACTGCAATCTGGTCAGAATATAACTTGGCTAGGAAACAGGATTGCTATTTCTTACTGAGATAAGTCTATTCAGCAAAAAAGGCAGCGAACATTTTCCCGGAGATGTCGGGTAGACTAATTTCTTAATGGTTATCACCGTGTGTTATATCGTTTTTGGAAATTAATAGTAGAACTGCTTTGCTCCAACTATCTGGTACTATTTCATTCTTCCGTACCAGACCGTATATTTGTTGAAGATTAGTAAAGATTAGTAAATGTACATTTGAAGATTTTAGCTCGAAGACTATTTCGGGAAATCGAAATTTTATAGGCCTTAAGTTTCTAAATGATAGAGATTATTTTCTGTTCTGCTGGTGACTCGCAGTAACATATGGTTCGACGAACAATTCAACCGGGACAATAGATGGTGTATCACGATTAAGGTTGGTTTCAAAGAATTCTTTCAACCTTATAAATCCTTACAAGACTATACTTAATAATCTTAGCAATCATGCCATTATCTCGTTTCATTTCATTGACCGTTTTCCACTGCTTTATGAAGAAGGCGAAACATTTTTCTAATATCGCTTAATCGAGTAGCCATCTTCGTTCTCAAGGCCATATCGCTCCAATAACGATTTTTGTCCTGCCGTCTGCCGTTTGTTGTTGTGCTTTTTCTAAGCATCCGATAGCAAGCATCTCCGAAATCGTGCTTTGGTAACATTTTCGCAGTTCACAGTTGGATAGTTGCACCATCTTCGGATACCCAACTAGCGCATTTCCTACCAGCATATCCTAGCTTGGAATTGGCTGACTTTGGGGGACACGCCTTTAGCTTGGGGCAGTATTCATCTGTTTTTCTAAAGATACCATTAATATTTATATCTCTGAGTTGCTTCTAATTCTACGACTGAAATACTCCTACTGTACCAAATAATTTCCTGCAAATAAAAATCGAATCCTTGTTTGATCCTTAAAGAACCTAAATTATATTTCATAAACTTATTGTCTGTATAAATAAATAAGATTATAATGGCAACTCAGGAGTAGAAAATTTTTTTTATAGATCTACGATAAAATTAATAGACTTGTTGAACGTGGGGAATTAACCAATCTCACTATACTTTGTACTTCAATAGACAAATGAAAGCCAAACACTTTAAAAAGAAAAATAAGACCTGCATTTAAAGAATAAAAAATGAATAAAAAAATTTATTTTAAAAAAACATCTTTTAAATCTTTTAAAGATTCAAATTATTTTTTAAAATATTCCAATTTGCAAATTAATTTAGCTTTTTTTCAATTTGCATTCTCGTTCTATTGCCTTCGTTTTCTTCAGCTTCAATCCGTTTCTTCCCTCGTTTCTTTTATTAATCCAAATCTGCATAGCATAGATCATGTGAACATCTTTTTTTCTAAATAATACTGCGATATTTTCATATTTTTGTGATTTTTCCTTTAAACCGTGATTTTAATAATATTTTTCTTCTCTTTGGACTCCCAGAGCACTTTCGCTTATTGTATTATAGATATTATGTTCTAAAAATCAGTTACCAAATAATAAGCATTAACTGATTAAAATTATAAAACAATTATCCCATTTTTTGATAAAAATTCCAAGTTACAATTCTTCAAAGTTCATTACCACAAACGACTTGATTTGAATAGCAGTGGTACGACCGGTGTTTTTGGCTATTTATGGAAGTTACGTTATAAAAAACTAGTTTGTATTATTCTTGCTCGAAATACTCGAAAAATTGCAGAAGATAGAACTAGCAAACATTAAAGCACTTTTGATATAATTATGAAAAATTTGATACTTATTATTTCCGATTAGATTCTGATAAGCTGGATCACTCTCTCTGCCTATTTCAAACAACGAATATTGTTGGAATTTTATGTGATTGCATCATTTATTAATTGTTCAATTCGAAACAAAAAAAATAGAAAAAAAGAATAATGGACCAATTACATACATATTTACATATCTCTGTAGTTAAGTCTTAAGCCTTTTGTCAAATGAACTGCAAAATTGCAAAACCAACAGGTTTATGAAAATGGATCTATATTTCGGAATAATTGTAGATTTGTAGATTTAAATGAAAAACTGCTTAACTTAATCATTAAAAGGTTCTAATGCTGAATAAGGATAATGTTGCTTTCACGATTTGTGGCCACTGTCTATCCAAAAGATCAAAATGGTTAAATTATATATAAGAAAACAAATAAGATAAAACTGAACCATTCGAAACTTATTTTAAAAATAAATTATTTACAAATTAGCTAAATTTTTCCCAACAAAAGTCATAAACATGCAAAATATTTTTTTCCCAAACAAAAATAATGGAAAATTTTTAAAACCCATTAACATTTGTAATTCGAAATGAAAATTTCAAAAAAATAAATATCGTATAAAACTTAATATCGTTTAAATGATCAAATTTTCAAGATGCCCGTTTTTTAAGTCCTATATTATTTAAAAAGCCCCTCAAGTCGCGCAGAAGCTATTAAAGAAAATAATCATAGATTAAGATAAGCATAGTTTAGCGAAGTATTTTGGGAATACACCAGAATTTAGAAATTTTAGAACAGAGGATAACGAGGTATTGTGGATATCAATAAGTAAAAAATTTATAAGAGAACATCCATATAAACTAATTGACAAACACAGAATAGTTGTGCAAATTGTTTTTTTTTTTCTAAGGACGCTCATCATTTCTAGCTAAACTCGTTTGTCTTGTTAAAATAGCAAATTTTGCAAGAGACAATTGACACAATTGACAATAAATTTTTCATGAATTTCAATAACATATCTTTTGTCATTTAAAAAAAAAGCTTGTATGTTTCATTCAGAAAGCTGTTTTAATTGGCATTCAAAAATTAAATATTCCTAGTATAGATGGACCAGCGCCACCCAGATTTCTGAAAGACGAGTCTATTTCTGCACAAAGTCAGGGTGATTTCGGCGACTCACCTGTATTTCTGTCGCCAAGGGACTCCCTGGCATGTTGCCCAATGTGACAAGCCATTGGAGCGAGTTTGACCAGTAATGGTGAGGACTCTTGAAAAAAAAAAAAATTTCTGCACAAAGTATGGTAATATAAAAATATATAATATAATATAATATAATATAATATAATATAATATAATATAATATAATATAAT